GGGGGGGGGGGGGGGGGGAACCTGTTACAAAAATATATGGAACAAAAAATTGGAGTTATTTTTAATATTTCTTGTAAAATATCTTTTTTTCCCCTTCAACTGGCTCTGCTGCTAGTATCAAATAGGTATCAGCATGTATGCATAGAATCCATGCATTTCAAGGACTATTAGCAGACATTTCTAAAATGCCTCACATAACACCTGAATTTGTGATAGGACTCAGTGTTACTAGTGGATATCTGCATGTAAAACAACAGCATCATTCTGTTTTATGTTGAGTCATCTGAAACAAAATGAACATTACATTATTCAGAATAACATGCATTTGGTGCATACCTAAGAGCTCAGTAAACAGCACAAAATCATTTCAAAACTTAACTTGTTAGCACAATGAACTGCTACTGCCTTCCCAGTTCTGTATATTAGTAAATTAACCTTTGCTTAAATTCAAGATTCAGGTAATATTATCTCAAAGGTCATTAGCACTGTCAAGCTAAGCAAGAATTAATACAAATCAACTTTAAATAGTAAACCTGTGAGGCTGCCCTCTTTGTGACTTGTTCAAGATCAGCCTGCAATTTTCGCTGCTGTTCTTCATAGACTTCCAACTTAGCCTGTAGCTCTTCTGCAAAAACATAATGAATTGGCTCTATTACCTGATAGCATGGTTAAACCAGGAGGAAGAATCCAACTCCAAACTGAGACCAAGGAATCATTTTAGTTGAAAGGTATACATGGCTTATACAGTGCACCTCCTTCCAAAATTAACTCATCTTAGGAGTATTAAGAAGCAGTCAGTCAGTGTTTGAAATGCTGACACAAAGCACTGGGTATGGAATGGAATGGGGTAACATGCATGGTATCAACAGAAATTCGCTTCTAGGAGGTCTTAAAGCATTTCCTGTCTAATGCAATACTTTCTAAAGGAACATAGTTCAGTTGGAAGGGACATGTGTTAGGTTGCTGCTACTGGTTGCATAACCCATAGACTGTGGGCCAGATCCAACCCACCCAGCTATTTTATCTGGCCCATGATGCGTAGATATTGGCAGATATCGAAGGATGGTCACACACAGCACAGAGAAGCAAGAGTCAGGTCAGAAGCACTGGCCCACCCCAGACTGAGTCAGGTTATTTTGACATGCCACTCCTAAAGCATTGCCAACCCCTGTTACACAGTTCATCTTCTTACAAACCTAAAGGCCTTGTTACATCTTGCACTGAGCTGCTCCAATGCTGATCAGTGTTAGTGCTAGCTCGAGTTTAGAGCAGTCACACCTTAAAGTTAAAAACCTTCTCTGACTGTCCCGCACCTGCACAGCTGTGACTTGCCACTAGAGAGCTGGCAAGCAGGGGCTGGACTAGAAGCTATAGCTGTGAGTTGCCCCTAGGGAGCAGGCAAATCAGGACAGGCTTCTATCCCCGCTCTAGGTAGTGTGTGAGAGATGCGTTGAGGGGGTTGGAACATGAAGCTGGGAAGCAGAGTCAATGGGATGGGGGTGGGTAATGAAATGAAGGTGAGGGAACGGTGGTGAAATGAAAGAAGTCAGCCACGAAAGGGTAAAATAAAAAGTTAAAAAAAAGGAATTTAAAAAGAAATGAAGAGGAAGTAAATTAAAGGTCTCTTTTTAATAAATTAGGAGGGCGACTGGTGTATGGAGATGCTGGTCGAGCTGGGATG